GACCCATAGCCTAAACTGGCCCATTATGATAAACATCTTGATTTGGCATATCATTCAGACAATGGCATAATAAGTCCAAGAATGAAAATGAGAAGTTATTTTGGAGAATCAGTTTGGGGATAATCATGAGAATATGAAATAATAGAACAGGTAATTAAACCAAGTGAATGTTCTGCTCAGTTAGGATTTCAAATTAAATCTGCTTGAACACATTCAATAAAAGAAAGTTGACTATCTGTGTGAGTAATTAGTTCTACTGCTGAACTGCTCTTATGGAACATATGTTTTCCTAACATATTCAATAGAAATAAGCTGATGGAAACCGCTAGATAGATTTAGGGTGTGAACCTCAGTAAACTTGAACTGGGTGAACAGTTTCAATTCTGGATGCCGTAGCCAAAAAAATCTTGATGTTATCTTAGAAAAGAGTGTGCAGAATCTTAAAACTGCACATTGACAAAATTTCCACCAGTCAGTTGCAAAAGGCCCCAGTGCTTGGGTCCATGCATATACTGCACTGATATATTACAACAGGAATCCTCAAACCTTTTTAACAGGGGGCCAATTAATGGTCCCTCAGGCTTGGTGAGTGTGGCTAGGTGGTCATGTGACTGGGTGGACATGGGCAATTAGGGCAGTCCATTAAGCAATACACACAAATGAAACTTTAATTTATTATGCTCCTGGGGATGGAAAGCAGGTTAGTGAAGGGATGTGGCTGCTGTGTGTGTGCGTGCGTGTGTGTGTGTGTGTGTGTGTGAGGGACTTCTGTTTGTGTGTATATGTGTGCGTGTCCCTTCCTCTCTGCCTCTCTCTCTCTCCCTGTGGAGGCCAAAAACAGGCCCATTTTTGGTCTCTTGAGGCTTCAGCGTGTTCCGTTTTTGGCCTCTGAAAGGCTGATGGGGGCCAGCGGATAGGGAGAGCAATGTGGGCAGGACAGCCTTGTGTTCCCACCCAGGCCAGATTAATGGCTTTGGTGAGCTTTATCCGGCGAAGTTTGATGACCCATGCATTACAACATCCTAGGTTCTAGGGCAATGTTCCCTCTAATTTTTTTTCAGTGTGTGCGGAAAAGTATAGTGTTTGAGCGGCACATTTTCATGCCTGAGCACCTGATTTTTTTTTAGCCATAATTGCCATCAGAGCAGATGTTGGGGAGGGGGGCAAGGAAGAAAAGGGTCCCCTGCCTCTCCCTCAGGCCCCCAGGAAGGAAGGACGGGGAGGGGGAGGGAAAGGAAATGAGAAAGAAGAAAAGGAAAGGAAAAAGGAAAGCAAATGGAAAAGAAGGAAAGGAAATGGGAAAGAAGAAAGGAAAGGATGAAGAAGGGAGAGAAAGGGAAGGGAAAAGAAAAAAGAAGGGAAAAGGAAATAAGGAAAAGAAAAGAGAAACGAGAGGAAATGGAAAAGAAGGAAAGGAAAATAGAAAGGAAAGGAAATGGAAAAGAAGGAAAGGAAAGGAAAGGAAAAGAGAAAGGAAAGGAAAAAGGAAAGGAAAAGGAAAGGAAAAGGAAAGGAAAAGGAAAGGAAAAGGAAAGGAAAAGGAAAGGAAAAGGAAAGGAAGGAAACAAAAAAGGAAAGGAGAAATGAAAGGAAAAGAGAAAGGAAAGGAAAAAGAAAAGGAAAAAGAAAGGAAGATAGAAGAAGGACAGAAAGGGAAAGGAAAGAGTGGAAAGGATTGGTACTGCTTAAAAATCAAGTCTCAAGATCCCGTGGACCCCTTTGGCTCAGGCAGTCCAATTCCACGCTGATTCCCTCTTTCCCTTAAGTGAAGGTATTGCAGAAAAGACTGCCCAGTCCAGAACGGGGCTTCAGACGACACAATGCCTGAGAAACCCCGGATGTGCAGAGAAATGCAGGCTACAACCAGATGGAGAAGAGAGTTCGGTGCAGAGAGAGACGGGAGAGAGGGAGGGAGGGGCGATCTTTTCAGTCACATTTAAAGAAACCCTGCGCTGCAGTTTGAAACTTCTGCACGGTGTTTTCTTGTCATGTGCGTGGCCGCGCAGGCGCGTAGCTTAGAGGGAACTTTGTTGTAGGGAACGATTTGATGCATATGAAGGCTAACTAAGGAACTCGTAGGTGTGACTTCACATTGTTGTGAACAGATAATAATTTATTAAATTTGTATGATACCTGGCTATTGATGATTCACAATAATCAAATAAATTACAGTAAAATCAATATAATATAAAAAATAAAAGACAGCGAATCCAATGAAATTGGAAATATCACTCTCTGTTGCCAAAGACTTGAGTGAAGAGCCAGGCTTTTATACCTCTTCTAAACAGCGGCAGAATGGGTGGCCATGTGAATTTTCTTCCAGACAGCAGGTGCTGCCGCCGAAAAGGGTGTGCTTCTGAGCTCTTGAGAGCTGATGTCTAATAAAAAAAAAAAATCAGAGCACACCAACTTTTCAGGATTGACTCACCTGACAGATGTTATGGTAGGCAGATGATCCTAGAAACGAGAACAGTCACCCAACAATCAAGGAAATCTACGACTTTAAGTTCAGATAAATCATTTTTAAGAATTTTGAATATATTTTAATGGAAAGTGATGGTGTTTTCATGTTCCAGTAACATTACACTTAAGATATTTTTACAAGTACAGGTTTAAAATAATATAAACTTTTAAACTTGGAAAGTATTTTTTCCTTATTTTTTAATATAATATGTAGGTTTTTTTAAAAAGTACTTTAAATAGTTCAAAAATGTCTGATGATGTGCATTTTGCAGAAAACAATACTGTAACAAATCACTAATCAACTAAGTACTATAATCCTCCTTATCGGGTAATACTTACTTGACCTCCAGCTATATACAGACATCACAACAGTATTAAACTGTAGCTCCTATCTCATGTTCTCTGTAACTTTTCTTCTAGATCACAATTCAGATTAGAGACTAGTAATTTTTAAAACCTGTATTTGTTCCCTTCATATATTCATTAATTTGTACTTAAGGTGGGGAACTTATATGAAAAGGCTATTTTGGGCTCCTAAAACAAACAAAATTGTATATGGTATCCGCAAATCTGCCAGGATTTAGTGAAGCCATAGGGTGCCCAGAAATTGATACTCCCGATTTCCCAGATGTGCAGTGGCTGGTCAACAGGTAAAGAAAGAGCTTTATATATTACTATGAAACTAATAAAAGTCTTGTCAAGCCAGAGAAGAATATTTAAGGAAACAATTTGTTTAAAAGAAATGCATGTCTAACTGTTTTATATTTTAGCAAGTATATTCTCAGAATTCATGATTTTAAAGAGTGTTACTGTGACCTGTCTGTCACTTTTACAGGCAGAGTTTTGAAAATACAATTGATATTCACTTAATAGAAACAACATACTGTACTTAAAATATGATTTGCTTTCCTTGTATTGTATTTGATAAATGCTAAGAAAAGGATGCCTAGTAGAATACTCTGTATTTTCTAAGAAACAAAAAAAAGGATTCAAATGTATATGCTTAGAGTGCCAGTCTTATTATATTACAAATGATATCTGAAACCTCAGTGGTCTATTTGAAATATGAATAAGTTGGTATTCAATTCTCTTTTCTAAGCATTTTATCTATTCGTATGTTCCACTACAAAATATATAACATCTCTTTTTATATAATGGGAAGTTGATAATTTAGACAAGAGTCTTGTAATATTTTTCCCCTTTGAAACAAAGTAGTTTATTATCTTACATTGTATTTTGATAATAGGATAGGATGGCATGATATAAACAATAATAATATAACATTTCTTTTAAAATATAGCTTACAGAAATTTCAAGAGATTAATGAGATGGATTACATTTAATAGAGATCACTGTATAGTTCCAATGCGATTTTAATTAGATTTAAATGATGTACGTTTTAGGAGCTAAAGTTTTCCTACCTGATTTTGTAGTTGGTCATTATTATTATTATTAGTTCCATGGACATCAGCTTAGATCCAGATTACTTTTTGGAAAATAATGTGAAGATACGTAAAATGTATGCTTTTTGCAAAACTGAGTGAAAAACAGTAGTTAAGTATAGTTGGAATTTCCCAAAATCTATTTGTTTATTCAGTTTTCTGTGCATTACTTTATTGCATCTAGCATTAGTCTGAAATATTTTTTTATTGGTAATACAGTATATTAGTGAATATTTAGAATGTAAAAATGTTTTCCTGGTAATTATCTTGATAAACCTTGTATAGAGATCCTATAAGACATAGAAGATGAGAGGTTGAGACTACAACAAGAATTAATAACATTAATAAAGCAAGTTAGAACATAATTTTATCTGCTGCAAGCAAATATTTTAAAATGTTTACTTGGGAAAAATACATTTTGATAAAGGCAAAATATATGCAAAAAAGACTGCTTAATCTATGAAGCATTCTACATATGCTGACATACATACATACATACATACATACATACATACATACATACATACATATCAATGCATATTATCTCTATTTCATTGTGGATGTAAATAATGACATTTGAATCTGTTGTCTATGCTTTGGATACTACATTTTATTAACAAGTATTGCAAAATTGTATAAAGCTGGCATACACAGTCCTTGACTTTGTACTGTGTTCCCCCCAAAATAAGACCAGGTTTTCTATTATTTTTTGCTCCAAAAGATGTATTAGGGCTTATTGTCAACTTCCTTGTTGACATTCCACGCATACTTATTTTCTGGTTAAATAAGGTAAAACATGGTACTAATTGCTTCCATCTGTCTGATTATCTTAACTGGGGCTTATTTTGGGGGTAGGACCTATATTATGAGCAACCTGAAAAATCATGCTAGGTGTTATTTTTCAGTTGGGATTTATTTTCGGGGAAACAGGGTAGAATTTAAAATAATAGTCATCTATTGGAGTTGTTATGAATAGTTAGGTTATGTATAGCAAGCAACACATTATTGTATCTCTGTTATTTGGAATAAATACTTTCTGAATCAATTTGTAATAGATACATGTTTAGTAATTTTTCTTTTTTTTTGATTGCTTAGAAAAAGAAGTCCATCAATACCCAGAGATCAGAACAGGAGTTTCAATCAGCTGGAGGAGAGAGACGACTATCCACAGTATGCAACATCAGATGCTGCAATGCCAAGATCACCATCAGATTATACAGACAGACATTCACAACATGGGTTGCAACCATACGAAGAACCTGAAATCGATGACTATAGGGATTCTAGCAGGAGAAATCGCAGACGTTCACGGGAATATCCTTTAGAGGAAGATGACATGCAAAATAGAGGGGAATATGAAAGGCAGCGGAGGGAGGAAGAATATCAAGCACGATACCGAAGTGATCCTAATTTGGCTCGTTATCCTGTCAAACCCCAACCATACGAAGAGCAAATGCGCATTCATGCTGAAGTCTCGCGTGCACGTCATGAAAGAAGGCACAGTGATGTGTCTTTGGCCAATACTGAATTGGAAGATTCCCGGATTTCGATGATGAGAATGGACCGACCATCCAGGCAAAGGTCTACCTCTGAACGCAGAGCTGCCATGGACCAACGTTCGTATTCAATGGAAAGGACTCAGGGACTAAGTCCCAATAGGCAGAGAACTGCAAATCACAGTCCTCCAACACCTAGGAGGAGTCCAATACCTTTTGATAGACCAGATATGAGGAGAACTGATCCATTAAGAAAACAGCATCATTTAGACCCAAGCTCAGCTGTACGGAAGACAAAACGTGAAAAAATGGAAACCATGTTAAGAAATGATTCGTTGAGTTCGGATCAGTCGGAATCAGTTAGGCCTCCACCACCAAAGCCTCATAAAACAAAAAAAGGAGGTAAAATGCGCCAGGTGTCATTGAGCAGCTCTGAAGAAGAGTTGGCTTCTACACCAGAATATACGAGCTGTGATGATGTAGAGATTGAAAGTGAAAGTGTTAGTGAAAAAGGTAAGGCCTTTTTTTTCTGTTTGCCTTTATGTAGAGGGGACATTTATTTTACGTACGGGATTTGGAACTACAATAGAAGTACACAGTTACTGTGAGGTTACGTTCTTCATGCTGATGCGTTAAAATGTGGTTTGCCTAATTTCAGTAGAGCTTTTACCAATGAATTTTGTGTATCTTCTCTTTTTTAATAGTTTCAAATCTACATGTCTCAGTAATTGATAAAAATTTTTGTTTTTATTTGCTTTTTATAAACATGCTTTTCAGGGCAAAAGTTGAATGAAACTATAGATTAGCTCTTGCTTTTCTGACTAACTATGCATCCTAGTTTAAAACCAAACACACAGAACCAGTAAGTAGATAGTGCTGAATTGTGAAGTGAAGTGTCAAGATAACATAGTTCTTAGAGGCTGTTCTTTTGGTTTTTTGACTGCTCTCACATACGTACAAAACACAAAAATCTATTATTTTTATTATGGCAAAAATCCCAATTTCTGTATTATGATATATTATTTTTGTATTATTCTGTTTTATGGTGGATCTTATAGCAACATCAGGAAGATCAATTTGAGTCAATGAAATAGAATTGGGGAAAGTCTTAATTACCTTTCCCACACTAATATTCATGTCATGATACAGTTCAACCTAACCCCAGGGGCAGCTTTAAGGTTTTAAAAATCATGTGATTTAATTACCCCCATGTTATATGTAATTAAAACAGTGCAATACAAAAATGTACATTTAATTTTTTTTAAAAATCTACTGATCTTTGTTCACCAATAACTGATAAGAATTTGCTAAACGATTGAAGTTGACAGATTGAAAGTAATAAACTGCAGCTATTGATAATTCTAGATTTCATCTGTCTATGTAGGACATTTTATGCTTTTAAATGTGACATTTGAATGTAGTGATATCAAACTGCTGCAGGGTAAGTGAAGTACTTGTAAAAAGTGTAATTCTGTAATATGGTATATTAGAATATAGCATAGTGAACTTACTCTGTTTTTTTCCCATTAAAACCTCATATTATTACTATTCTTAAAATATTACACTTTGAGCTTTACATGCAAATAATCTAGGACAATTGGTTCTTTTATTCTTAACAAGATACTATAATTGCATCTCTTTTTCCTTTCCTGTCAAAAGAGGTTATAAGGATTTAAACTTTCAGAACTATGGAGTTAAATTATTAAAACCAAAATATTTACACTATTTTTAAGAGTTGTATGTATTGCTAGATTTATGTTTTATATTTATATCAGGAACCTAAATATGTTTACAGTAATTGAAAATAAAAAAATATTTATCTCCCTATAAGTGTTCTTTGGACTGCAACATTTACCTTGCAATTATATGTCTTCTGTGTTGCTGCTTTGAAGAAATATATTTATGGTATAAAGGAAAAAAGAGAGAAAAACTGACTTTTTATAAATTATTGCTGCCCTCTTCAATATTTTACTTTTGATCTGTAATACAGGACTACAAGCATTAAATTTTCCCCCCAAAAATGTTGGTACTCTAAGAGCCACACATACATTTATTTTCTCATGAAAAAGTTCAGAATGTACAGTGGAAAGTCACATCTGGTGAGAAATGGTGAATTGATGTTCCACGAAGAGCAGGAGACATTACAGTTGAAAACAGCAGTTGAATGCAGGAGCTGGACTCCTGAAGCCTCTCTCTGGAGAAAGGAGAGATCTAGAAATCACCCAAATGCACTCCAAGCAGCTGGTGGTGTTTGTTTTTTAAAGTAGATAGGAATTGAGTTTTTTATGGTCAGCTTGCAAACAGCTGGGATTCATAGAATTCCATCAAGCTTATAGTTTTCAATATATCCTAAATGGACTTTAAGTTCAACCAAATCTCCAATCTTAATTACTTTGTATATTTTTTTACTGTTCTATAAAGATTGAGAAATTACAGAATTAGAGGTTTTCCTGTATTCACCAGTTAAGCCTTTAATCTTTTAAGAAAAAAGTTTTAATGACTTAATTACTAGTTGAAGATTTTGAAAAAGAAAAAAAAAGTCTACAAATTGGTGATTGGAATGTTGATTTTAGAAAGCTTTAATGGACTAAGGGCTCAGATAGACTTGAATTAAGACTTGGAAATTAATTAAATCCTCCCTGTGAGAAACTTCCCATGTTTACATTTGGGAACAAAAATGACTTGATAAGATGACTAGAAGGCACCAGAAGGAAACAAATACATCTGTGGATCCAATGAAAAAACAATTATTAGATTCAGGAAATAATTTTAAAGGCATCTACTATTATAGATATATTAGATGGTGTCACAGAAGAGGAACAAACCTCATTAGATAAGCTGAAATTAATTTCAATGTGAATTTAAAACAGAAAGAGGAAATATTGGATATACAAACAAAACCAGCTGATGTTTTCACAAGTAAAAAAAAGACACATGAATACTAAATCAGAAGAGCAATGTGGAGAACCTTTTTATAGCAATAGCAATTAGACTTATATACCGCTTCACAGTGCTTTACAGGTTTCTCTAAGCGATTTATAAAGTCAACAAATTACCCCCAACAATCTGGGTCATCGTTTTACTGACCTTGAAAGGATGGAAGGCTAACTCAACCTTGAGCCGGTTAGGATCGAACTGCCGAATTGCTGCAGCTGACAGCAGAAGTAGCCTACAGCACAGCATACTATCCAATGCACCACTACGCTCTTTTATGGGTTTTATCAAGGGAGCTTGTTAAAGTTGTCAATGATTTTGTGAGAAGAATATGAAGAGTGACTTGGATATTTTATTTATGGTGTATATTCAAAAGGATCTTCCTGAAGTTACCAATGACTTTGAGAGAAGAAACAAAGAGAATTGGAGGTACTAAATATTGTCAGAAGAAAAAGGAAATAATACAAAAGCAATTTATTAGATCAAGGTTAACGTTGATGGACTATTATTTCCATTAAGGTTTAATGTTTTTTTTTTTTTACTAGCACTGGATGATGTTGTTTTAAAGGTTTTGGTTATCCTTAAGAGATAAAGAGATTATTTGTTGCATTTTAAGTATGCGTGTTTAATAAATGCAAGGAAAGGGTTTATTATATATAGAGTGTAATAGTTATGTTGTTGTTTCTGGTAACCCTTAATGGACTTCTACTAATCAAAGTGATACTTTAATGATCTGTTTGAGGAGAATGGATGGTATTTGGAATGAAGAGATGACTTGTATTTTAAGAGACTATGATGAGTTGTTAATGTTAATTATACTTGCTGGTGATGAAAGGGGAGGTTATTTCTTTATTTTTCTTTTCTTCTGCACCTTTTATTTTTATTTTATCTTTTGTAGTTTGTACATTTTTTGTATAATCTTTAATAAAACTATTGTGTAAAAAAGAATGTGTCTTTTTACTTTTAATCCTTCTTTTGGATCTTTCAGCATTAGGATCTCCTGTATTAGTTGAGATTTATGGACAAGATATGAAAAAGAGAAGAAGGGACTGAAATTCTGGGTTACATGCTCATCACATCATGCTTTTGAATATTTGTCAAATTGTAGTACAACAAACATAGATAGAATCTCTAGGTAGTGTTCATTTCCCACCATAATGGCCCTTCACATTGTTGCTGGGATTGTGTTGGGAAAAGGACTCATTCAAATAATCTGAGTCTGACCTAAATCTCTAAAATCTAAATATATCTTCTGTTGAACCAAAAGTGTCTTTATCCATGATAGTATCACTCATAAAATGTAGAGGTTAAATAAAGTGATTGAAAAAAAGTTAGCCCAGAAAAGTATTAAATGTCAAATTTACAGTTCCAAAGTTACGTATGTGTGAAATACAGGTAGTTCTTGACCTCTGATCATTTGGTCAGTGATTGTTCCAAGTTACAGCCATGCTGAATGAATGGTGATTACAAGGGGTCCTTGGAGTTCTGGCTGTCAGAGTACTCCTGTGGTCACATGATCACAATCTTAGTGCTTGTCAACTTGTTTACCCTTAAAACCAGTTGTCAAGTGTTGGGGAATCACATGATTGCATTTGCAAACTTCCCCACCAACTTTTCCAGGAAGTTGGGAAGCTGGAAAGGAGGTCATAGGTCACAGGGTCAAGTCTTTCCCATTTGTGTAACCTCCGAGACTCGTCAGCATTTGTGCCATGCTGGCCATTTGTGCACACAAGTGCACTTTCTCTGAGTCATGCAGTGCTTTCTGACTGGTGCCTCGTGTGCACACTCACCTTTCTTTACACCATTGCACACTCATTGTCTGTTCTCCTTCATCCCCATGGCCACATAACTACTTGCAGGCCTGGAATTTGTAACTTCCTCTCAGTTTCCCTAGTGATTTTGCTTGTGGGAAGCCAACAGGAAGTTGCCTTGCCTGAGGGCATGGATTCAATTAGCAAATTATTCTAAGTTGAAATTAGCAATAGCAAATAGGACTGTATGGATTGGACACTATTTACAAGCACGTTGTTTAGTGATGGAAATTCCAGCTCCAACTGCTGTTTTAAGTCCAAGGACTAGGTTATCTGAACAGCTATCCCTTTCACTGCATGTCTGAATGATAACATATTTATTACTATTATGCTTTTAATCCCATCTTTTCTTAAAATATGTGGCCAACTGCAGCTAATACTTCTGCGTCCTACTTTTTTCCCCCCATAACAGCATCCCTATAAGGTTGTTTGTGCTGAGAGAGCGTGACTGGTCCAAAGTCACCCAGCCAAGTTTCATGGCTAAAGGAAGCTTAGAATTCACAATTTCCAGTTTTTCAGGTCAGCACCTTAACCACTGCACGGAACTGGCTTTGACAAATAATGCCCTGCTGTAGCTCTACTGTGATAAATACAGGCCATTGTCCATATTAGCATGTTTCGTAACTCAATTTTTGCTTTAAATGCTTGAGCCAACAAAAAATAATCGACTTTCGAATGTTTTTATTTCTTTTAAAATTGAAGAATTATTTAAGAATCTTAAAAAGGTTATGGAGAGCCTATCTGGCGTCGGGATAAGACACAAGGCTA